GCCTCCCGGGGATGCGTCCATGTGACATATATATTTGCACAAACGGTGTGCTATCTCGAGACACCGACCACGGATTGCAAAGGTTGCGGTTGGGACAGCTCGGACAAGATGTTACTTGTTGTGCGCAAGTTTTAGTTTGCAATTTGGTCCCGAGATGGTGAAATGGGCTCGAGTCTGCTGGGATATTTAGGGCGCGCAGACAGACACCAGACAGACATCAGACAGCCATTGCGAAATTTTCACGCCCCCTGGGCATGAAAATTATTCTTTTTCTCGTGCGCACATACATCCACACACGATCCCTCTAAACAGTTTTTTTTTGCAAAACAAAAAGCGTACCCCTATCCGGGCCACTCTTCTCGCAAAAAAAAACTACTATTATTATAGAAGTAGCTGGTATGGCTGGGCGTAGATGAAGTCAACACTTGCGGTGGGTGTATTTCGTGCGCCAAGGCAGACGGAGTCTTGGCCATCCCTTCGACAGGAAACAACCGCACGCACATTTGTACCACAAGAATCTCCATATCCGAGAGACGTTGTTCAAGCAAGGCCTCCACAATATGTCTTCCAGCACGCAACACACACGCACCATCGGTGGAGGAGTACCCCACCAACGTCGGGATTCAACGCAGCAATGCAGCCTTCAACACCTGTCTGTAGATGGCCTCTACTCCTAAGATCGCAAAGATTCATAAGAGTCTCGCCGTTTTGCCGGAGACCCCAATGGGCTTTACTAACTTGCATGTGTGTTTAATCTGTCTGGGAACATTTACATACGTCTTGTCATCCACATTTCCCAACGAACCGACACTCCCACAAACGACAACAGCCGAACGCACGACCCGATTGAACTGATTCCTACGTACCTGAGCAACGTAATCGAACAGAGCTTTCACCATCTCAACCCCCCCGCTCGCCCCCCCCCCGCCGCCTCCGCCGCCGCCGCTTACTCCAGGGGGAAGTGCAGAAGGTAGGCTACTCCGCGAGTTGCTTCTCCCACCCCCACCGCCTGCACCACCGCCGCTCCCGCCGGCGGAGAACGGCTGCTGCCAAAAGTTGTCAGGTCGTGCCGCCTTGGAGGTGGAAGCGGGAACGTTCGAGGCCGGCAATCCCTGGACCGTAGCTGGCGCCGCTGCCGCTGGCACCGCCGCCGCCGCTGCTCCTCCTGCCGTCGCCGTTGTCGGCACCGACGGAGGGGCTGCTGCCGGTCTTGCGCGGTTCGATATCGCCACATAGTTGACGGGGAACCAGCCGGTCTGAGACGGTGGCAGGGTGGCAGCAAGGGAACCATGGAGCGGTGGGGAGGGTCGCTCGTTCGACTTGAAACGTTCAGCTGGGCATAACAGGGCATAGGATGGTCAGGCGGTCCACACGACTGCGCTATCGTACTATTCAGAAAACTTCGCCACGGTACTGTTGTTGGAAGCAGAAACCTTGGATACCACACCTCTTGGAGGCAGAGCATATGTCCACTACTAGAAAATCTGGAATGTTTTTGCCATGTGCGACCGTTTCTCCACAGAAAGCCAAGACACTGGTCGCCGTAACCGCCTTCTCTTCTTGGTTAGTCTACAATACTGTACCCCTGTGCACACGTGCTTGCCGTGTGATGCTGGTCTTTGAAAACGTGGGTGCGGGGGGATGTACATGTCATGTGCGCCGAAACATCAATCCTTCCGATTGTGCAAGAAAATGTTGCGTGCCCGTGGTGAAGCAACGGCGCAGTGGTGGCCGCAACGGCACGAATATGCGATTGTGGAACGATTGCCGACGGCACGACAATCATCTATTGGTGTCCTCTGGTGATGATAGGGGGCATCGACATATGCCATTGTCGGTTGTATATATGTCGCGGACACAATACTCTGCATAGTTCACCCGTCTGGATCTACATCCAACCTGAACTGCCAAAAAACTCCAGCAGCCAGAAACAAGCCCCGCAAAGCCTTTTCTGCACATGTGTCGAAGGGTAGGTTGGATTGTTCAACACCACAGCAATAGGCCAAGCGGCGCGTGCTCTCCCTGCAGCGGCGGGTGAAACGATCCCCACCCCGCTCACGGTTCCCAGCACAAGAAGCAGGTACAGTACTGCTGTAGGAGTAGATTCCTCGTTATCTTTCCGTGCCAAACAAGCACCCCTTTGTCATGTTCGGGAAATCATCCCGTCTGCTATGCTGCTGGTTGTCCATCCTGGGTGGGTGTGGATGTGCTCGAAATGTTCGCCTGGTGGAGGGCGGAGAAATGCGGACGGAATCAGTCGCACCCCTTCCCGCCGAGGTTTAAACGAAGTCAGCGCACACACCTTGCCGTTGAGCTTCCCCAAGCCCCACCCCTCTCCCGGGGGCACACGCTTCAGGCTGATGACATCTCCTTGCTTGAAACTTAGTTGCTCCCTGCCTGCACGAACAACAACGCAGGCAGCAGGGCCGAGAGCACTATCATGTCGTAGCATTGCATTGGTGGTGCTGCTGCTGTAGCACAGCATCGACATCAATCCGGCCGTTTCCCGTTTGTTCGACGATCGAAGAGGAGTCCAACGCATACATGGGCAGAAGAATTTCGGCCTCAGTTACGTATATGGCCTTCAGCGAGCACTCCGCAGATGTCGGTTGCAATTTATAGCCCTAACTTGTGACATGGTCGAGGTCAGCGCAGATCCTCGTCCACGATCACACCTTGTAGTGTACCACAGAGCGCACCACCATGCTGAAGCTGATGTTGTAAATAGCTAGTCTATCGCTCTGTCGGGAGGAAAGAGCTGTCTCTCTCCGGCAGGCAACAAAACTGTGTGTCTAGAGACGATGCTTCACAATAGCTCCTTCCCACCAGCTACTTACCGTCACCCTGGTAGTCGAACAGCGCAATGCAAGTCTGGTCAGCCATCGCGAACGCGAGGGCAGCGCGTGCCCGAGCTGCAGTGTCTGCTGGTGCACGCCGGTGCGTTGCTGCTCATGGGGGCTCCGCAGGGCAAGCGAATATTGCCGAGGTACCCGTTGTACCAGGAAGTTAGCCCGCATGTGACCGCCATGAGCAACAACTTGGACAGCATAGCGGTTTGAGATTATTTTGGGACAACTCTCGCAGCACTGTTGCCGGGCGGGGTGGGGTGGGAAAATGGCTAAGTCGTTGGCTGGCGGGCTGTTGCCACTAGGCCCTCGATCTGGCTCTAGCACCGCTGTATCCAGCAGTGCTCTCACCGGTGGCCTCATTCCACTTGGAAACAAAAGCCGACCAAGCGTTGGCCGAGACGACCAAGAAGAGAGCGGTTGGGGTGGGGTCGGCAGCCGCTGGAGCGGCAAGGAGGACGATTCGGGGCTGGAAGAGGAGAGGCTAGGGAGCGAAGCACACCCCGACAAGAGGGTGCGTTTGAGTCTCTCAATCTAAAATGCAGCCATTTACTGCTCTGCTGTTTGGAAAGATTTTTCAAATCGTCGGCAGATCTTGAATCTTCAGGACTGGTGGTACAGCTTGAGTAACATGCAGTCCCTTTGAGAGGAGATCTTGCCATGCCGGTCAAATCAGTGGTGACACCGTAACCATCATGCCCTGCACAGCATGTGCTCAAGGCCACACGACAATGGCCTAGCCCTATTGACGACGGCATCGAAGAAGCGGATCTGGATCCAAAAAGTGATCACGAAGTCGTGTCTTCCAAAACGTCGACCGGCGGAACGCAACCACACCTTGCGCGGAGTCTGCCCTACCGCACAATAGTTCGAAGGTTGAATGATACGCACGCTTCTTGACCTGCCCACTGCTACCGTTGAGCCCGTAGGGAAAAAAGCTGTCCTCAAGCAGAAAAAAGCGTGGCGGTAAGGAGAAAAGCGACCGTGCTGGGCACCAATCATCCAAGAGCAGCGCAAGACGGCGGCGAGGATCGAAGGAATCATCGAAAGACGCCCTTGACAACGACTCCGACGCCAGCCCCAGCATAGCTGGATTAGAATCACGACGCAACAGCAGGAAGGAGGGCTGGGAGAGCGGTAGCACGCTATCGAACTTGAACCCCGTTGCCGCTGTGGATGTTGAAGAGCCGGAAGATGACAGCTACTTGTTCTTGGGGGCTACGGCGGTGAGCCAGCTGAGACTCCTGTAAACCATGACGTTCGGAGCAGTATCGCATTGCACATCTGTTGAGTTGCGCGGTGGGAGATACTTAAGTGTACATGTAACGTCTGCAGAAGCGAGACCGTCATATGAGACAGATAACATGCAACCCAACACGCAAGTATGTAGGTCAAAGCTGCACCCACAATGCACGATAGAGTGACTCCATACACTATGCACGTGCACACATGCCGGGGCCGCATCGCACTGCTATTCTTGTATAGAAATACTTTGAGACATGTGAGCGACGCTCAAAGTGGTCTCAAATGGGTCCAAACTCGCACTGTGTATTGTAGGGGCCCTGATTACTCACACTTTTGCGGGCTCTGTCCGTGCCAGCACTCCCGCATTGGCCAGTTTTCATTACTTCACCATTCTTGCGTCGAAACGCGCACCAATACTGTCCATCCCCCCCCCACCCCCGTTCATGCATTTCTTCTACCTCATTCAAAGGGTGCCAAAGGAAAAAAGAGCTCCAGGGAAAGCGCACAGGAACAAACGTTGAACTACGACTCCACCGACTCCTTCGGCTTGCCCAAGAAAAAGACAAGCAAGGAACGCGCGCTATACACGGCCCCGAAGCCCGGGAATACAGGAAGCGAGTCTCGAACAACCATAGGAAGCAGCAGCCCTCACACAGATAGCCCATCGATCACGACCAATGCTGGCGAGAAGAGAGGGAGTCAACAAGACGATGGAAGCCTCTCCTTTCTTGGGGGTAGACAAGTTCAGCGGTCATCTTCTAGTGGGCTTGCGCTCGACCCAGCAGTAGGTTCTCTAGGTGGAAATATGCCGCTGAGCACCGCCGCTGTGACGTCTCCAGCAGGCGGGGGGAGAGGGGCCAGCAGGGTGCCACCGGACGAAGCACCAGCCGTAACAACAGCAACAGAGATCGACCTTGACGAAGACTTCGACAGCCCTGATGGCATGGACGCGCTTCTCGAGATGACAGACCCGTCCTCGCTGATGCCGGAACCCAGCGGGGCGGCAGCGTCAGCAACGGGACCCATGCCGCCGCTGCTACCACATGGAGGGTCGACCAGCCCAGGAAGACAAGACGGGAAAAACCCGCCACACAACCAGCTGCACCCTCCTGGTGCGACCCCTCCACCTGCCTCATCGGTAAGCACATCGAAACGAATGTCGCCTTCACCGCCGTCCAGTCCTCGAAAAGGCCGCTCAGACGTTCTGAAGGATAGCCGCAGCGGCCAGCCACTTCCCTCCCGCCCAGGTTGGGGCTTGACGCTCAGCGGGAGCCGAGACGGTTTGTCGTACGGTGGGGCGTCCGAAGAACGCATGGGTAGTGAGTCGGGGAAGGTAGAGGGAAGGGCTTTGCAGGACTCTAATTCCGGCGGCGGGGAACCAAGGGTGACAAACGCCGTCGCGGAAGGGACGCAAAACAACGCTGCACTAGCGACAACGACGTCACCGACACGAGCGTTGTTGTCACGTGCAAGGACCGATGGCGAGGAGAGCAGGGCGGAGGAAGATGGCATAAGCGGTGGAGCGGGCAATGAAGGGGAAGAAAAAGGCTCGCTAGAGCACGGGTCGGCTCCTGAAGCATCGGCGTCGGTGGCTAGTGCCAGCGCCATCGTTGGAGACTTTACGGGCAGTCTTGGAAGCGTAGGCGGTGCTAGTGACGCGCGGCGGCAGTTGACCTCAAGCGGACCAGGGATCGTGAAAAAAAGTAGCGACCTAGTCCCAAGACGGAGTGCGTTGGCCGGGACAGGCAAGCCCACGTCACAGTCGCGAAAGCCGAAGTCGCGGGGAGTAACCTTTGACGACGATCTCGTGGGCGTCGATACCCTGGACATCCTCCCAGGTGGTAGCAGCGACGAAGGAGAAGAGCTTGGCGGCGGGACTCCGCCCACTGAAGACTTGCTCAAAAAGCAAGGGTTGCCGCAATCGTCGCTCAACCTCGTTCCCACGAAGTCCCCTGTCCCTGTCGAGACAGCGGCGGAAACCATCGCTGAGGGTCACGGCAATAGTGGGGGCGTTCGTGATTCAGAGCATCGTACATCGGAGCCGTGGTCCACTGCTGCGGCTTCTTCGGGAATAAGCAGGCGACCCTCAACTTCCATTACGGAAGGGCTCTCCCCTGCCACAGCTCTCTTGATGGCAGACTCCTCGAGCGAGGACAACAACAGCACGATCGCAGCTGGCGTAGCCACCGCCAAATCACGTCCGGGGTTGGAGCACCCCGATCGATCCTCGTTCGCGGTACCAAGACTAGACCTAGGAAGGGCGGAAGTAGAAAAGAAGGAGGAAGGATCTGAAGGCCTTTTCGGTGTAGGACCGACAGACGGCGGCACCGGAAAAGATGAAAGCATCGACGACGCTAAGCTGGATTTGGCGCTGGGGTTCACGCCGTCCGCGATGGAGGGCAGCCGCAAACCACGGCGTACGCTGCCGGCCGGCCGCAGGAGACGGTCCCGCCGGGGCGAGTCGTCGACGGCAGCAGACGGGGAAAACGAACATGCCGGCGTTTCGGTTGCCAACTCAAGCCTAGCATCGATGCCATCCATAGCCATCCCAATGGCGACAGCGCGTCCGGCGGAAACAACTTTCGAACGTACGACGCTCAGTGTTGGGAGAGCAGATGATGCAGGATCGGGAGTGGCGGGGATAGGAGAGCGTGCCGGGGACAACGGGAGCTCTCGCTCGACCCTTGCGCCCGGCGTGTCGCCAACCCTCCCCGTCGACGTTCGCGAGCCCACGAAGTCATCCACAGGTGCAACCGCGTTTGGTAAAACACCTGTGACGGCCGCTGCTACCAAAGGTACCGGTATGGAATCAACGCCATCGTCAGCTGAACGCGTGCCTTCGGCAGCGCTACCTGGAAGCGAGAGCGATAGGGCATTGGACACACGTGCGCTCACCGACAGTCGTGGTGCTCTCGGTCCTTTCGACCATGGATCGAAGAACGGCAGCAGCAACAAGGATCGCCTCAGCGGTGTTGCTGCTGCTTCTTCTTCGAGGAGCGAGAACAGCGCCGAATCGAGAGGCGTGGATGTTTCGGTGCTCGCTTCCCTCGAGCGACAGCTGGCGCTGCTTGCGAGCGAAAAGGAGGCCGTAGCAGCAAAGGTCGCACGAGATGAGCAGAGATTCCAGAGAGATGCAGATTTGGCACGGGACGCTACGGCAGCGGCGCAGACTCGAGCGTTTGAGTCGGAGGCAGCTCTAGCTGCGGCCAGGTTCGTTAAGTGGAAAGCGCTTCAAGATCGGCGCCATTCTGGGATGAACCCATGAGGGAGAGGGCTAGTAAGGCATTAGGGGGCATCATGAATCACAGAGGGTGGAGTTGCGGTGTTTAGGGCATGCACCTTCTACAACTGCTGCGTCAGAGCAAGATGAAATTCACGCGCGTGCTGACTCTTACATTTTCGATGATATACCTAGATCTGTGCGGTCAGCCTTCGTGTTCGTTCACCCTGCAAGTGTGTCATCGGGTGCAAAAGTTCGGCGGTGGGGGAAGGGGGGGGTGAGGTCGATCGTTATTACCCCTTTAACCTAACGCCTGAGCTTCTGATGCTGTCATGCCACCCGTTCGAAGGGCACGTATCAGTCAACTGGAAGCGGAGGCGGCCGAACACACGGTTCGACTGGCAGCGGTGGAGTCTCGTAGTGCATCGGATTTGAGAGCGGAGCAAGAGTCATGCCTCAAGAAGATATCCGACGCGGAGGCTCGGCATCAGGCAAGCGCCGGATCAGCAGGAGCAGCGGCAGCAGTACTTGCATGCCTCTCTATTTTTTTCGTCCTGTGGATGGACGCCCCGGTTTGGTACTGACCTCGCCTACATGAACATCGCACGGGCCTATACGATACGTTTATCTAACCCTTTGTCGCGGGGCGAAGGATATATCCCATATTGTTGGTTGTAGTCGAGCACGACTGGTTTCATCCAAGTAACCCGCACGTGTGTTTGATGCGCACCACTCTGTCTAATGAACCGTTTGTGAGAACCATGTTCCGTGTCCTTCGTGGAAACCCGTCAGGTTTGCTCTGTCAATCAGCTAGCCTTTTGCGTAGCGAACTATAGTCTTCGTCTCCTATCGCTTTCATGCGCTATGTATGCACTACTGCTTGTAGGAAGACCTCCGCAAAGCAGAACGTCGGCAAGAAGAGGCGCTGTCCGAGTTGAAGCGGCTGCACAGGGAGGAGCTCGAGGATACGAGGCGAAGAAATTCTGCTTCCAAGACCCTCGAGACATTGGCTGAACAGGTGATCTGCTAAATGTGATGATATGCGGCAGGCCCGTTGACCACAACCAGTTGGTCCTCGAAATATTGTGGTACGAGGGAATCGTCATCAGTCCGGTGTCCTGCTCCATTTTTCGCGTTCCCAACTTCCCGTTCATCATTATTTTTGTGAAAGAATTTGAGAGATTTGCGGAAAAGGTTTCAAACAATTGGAAGCCACTCGACCTCAGACGTTCTTGGCGTTCCTTTTAAAGAGTTCGGGGACAAAGCCGAAGGGGGAAATCGAGTAGTTGAGATTTTCTCAAGCTCGGAAAGGAAGAAAATATATCCTAAACGGCCTTTGGGAGGCTGAGGTTTCTTCTGCTCCTGGAGCTAGCCGCCTTGCCTCTGTCGATCATTGAGATGACGAGTTGATTTGTTTAGTCACCTACGATAGAAGAACTGGTGAAAAATGATGGACAAAATCACGCTCACCTCACGTGAAAGACTTGGTTGCGTACAAGTATAACCACTCGCATGCCCCAGCCCGTAGTTGAAAGAAACAAACCCTCCTCGTTGTGAGACTCACCCCTCTAAGGCTTCCTCCCACCTGTAGGCCCACCTCCTCCACTGGCAAGCCCGTGCAGAAGCGCACAAGTCAATGCAGACTGACTAAAGCTATCAATTTGCCCAATCTTGTTTCCACCTGATGTGGGACCAGCTGCACGCGACATGAGAGGATCGCTCCACAACTGACCACAAGGCGATCGTGGGTTTCGAAGAATTATTTCTAATTCTTCTCCCTTCACGTGCACATATTCACACCGGACACACGTGCCCCAAACAGCAGGTGCTGAAGCCAAGGTATCCTTTACCCCTCTGCTTTCGTGCAACGTTTCGGGTGTTTGCGACAAGGTCCAAGCGAGCGCGGGGGCAGTGAAACTCCTCCAGTCCGAAATGATTGAGCGCAAGAACGTGTCTGAAGTGTCTCGGGAAGGGCACATGGACGCCAGAGAGAGGCTCATCAAAGAGCTAGAGCAGTCCGCCAGACGCGCGCAGCAGGTGCTCGTACCATTGCATTACCGACGTTACAGTTGCACTGCTGTGCTTGCATTTTGATACAACTAGGTGCTTGTTGTATTGTGTTCCTCATGGCTCGCTAGGATATTCAGCTTCCTGATGTCCGCAACAATGACAATATTTTCGTGTGCGGTCTGTACTGCTCGAATTGAAATTTGATTGCGCGAGCCGAGCACAACTGTAATTATCAACCACGGCACTCGTCTCTTCGTTCTTGCAACAGACGGCCGAAGACGAGGTGCAGCGTCTTCAGGGTACCCTCATGGCCATGGACCAGGTAAGAACGCGATATGCATCACAAATGCATTACGTGCACAGGACGGACGCAATTGCAATATGTAAACAAACCACACCCGTGACGTTTAACCGAACAGCAGTGTTTCCTCAGACCTGCGTGGTGCATTGCGTTCGCCTGGGTGGAACGGCTTTTACGGTGCCGTTCTCCGAGCGATCGTAGGCGTGACATGTGTTTCTTTGGAGACGACATATGGTTAGCTATCTCCTTTGGAGCGACAGATGAACTCGTGTTATTCTTCGAAAGTCCAACCGCTCAAGAGGGAGGGTACGGATCAGTCAGTTAGATCGTAACACGGCAAGAGTGACCGACCTGCTCTGCCGCTTGTCTGTTCATCTATCTGTCCATCGGCAACTCCCTGCAAGGTGATGAGCGCACTTCGAGGCCAGAATGCCGGAGAGAGGGAAAGGCTAAGGCAGGAACACTTGAGAATGGAGGCCCTCCAGGTGCGGTGCTCGCCGGGAAACTAAGCGTTGATGACGCCGAATCCCCCTTGCAGGGAGAATGCGCAACACTACTGTAAAATGTACATGACGATGTAGACACTGATCAAGGCTTCGGTTGTGACACCACCCGCGGTAGGCAGCAGGAACCAATCAATGCTCCCGGTACGAGACAACCTTTGCGGGCACCTTACGTCTCGGGAACCGCCGGAATACAGTCTGAGCTGCCGGATCTCCCGTGGACATTGCATGCTTTGGTTGATGGCGATGCCCAGGGGGACCATGTGTATGTTTAGGCGGTGGTTGGTCGAAAGATATTCGAGAACTAGAGCGTTGTCGACGTGCAACACGTCAGACAAACAGACTCTTACGCCTGTAGCAGTACAAGGCTTCAGGGGAGGCTACGGTTGGGATAAACGCTCTTACCCCAGCGACTTCCCAACCTCACTTGGCAAAAAAGCTGTTCATTCTCGGGGTCTTGCTTGTGGCGGATGTCTATCGGTGCTACTGAACAACAACAAGCGAGCGCTCAAAATGCGAAAGTCCTGTGGACCTCTTCGTTCTTTATCATGCGGTCATGATTGCGGGAGTTTAGGTCGTTCTAAGGTGCACCACAGTAGACTCCGAATGGGCAGAGTACCCCTGGCCCTTCATGTAGCCAAGCCCCGTGAAACGACTTCTTTAGGGCGCCATGGTTGCGGAGGTCGACAGCGTTCGGAAGAGCGTCGAAGAGGAACGGCAAAGGCTGGCGGAGAGGGGCGCCGCCTTGGAAAGGGACAAGCGAGAAGCAGATGCGACGGCGAGAGCGGAAAGCGATCGACTAGCGGAGCAGGTATCGTACGCCAGATCAAAATCGACGTCACAATCGACCGGAAAACTGTAGCTAAACAGGGACATGTTTTCGTGTGAGATTCCTGCCCCACGTGTAATCTTTACAATGGAGGCCGCACTATGACAGAAGTAGGTCCTCGCCCAAGCACGACGGACGCATGCGCCAAAAAGAAACTACAGTACTGGGACAAAGGTAACGCTGCTGTTGTTGTTGCCGTGCCAAGCGAAAGCAGAGCACGCTCTCTCACCGACATTAAGACCTTTTCCCCATGATCATGCTGAAAACTACGAAAAGATGCTGCCTGATGTCTTTAGCAACACCACACGGGCGTTACCGTGTGCTCGTGCACGTGCTTATCAAGGGATGCGAAGCACGAGTGGCCTACGATGCTGTCTCGTACGAAACCGTTTGAACACGCGCACAGTTTTTTTTGCCGCAGACAAAAAAAGTCCCAGTGGGGTGACAACTGGCACGTAGCGATGTACTTCTCCGCCCCATCGACAACACGTCTCTCACATTGATTCTGTCCCGCATGTTCCTGCTTGTGTTTGTTTGCCATCGAACCTACCTGTACAGCGGGTCAAGCTGGAAACGGATCGTGAGAGTTTCGCGGCTTTGCAGATTTCGGCATCAAAGGTATTGTACACTTTCGTGCCAAACATTCCGACCGAACCCGCCCTAACTTCCTTTGGCTGGCAAACGGTCTCATTGCGCAATCCAGGCGGAATTATCGGCAAGAATGGTTCGATTCGGTGGGGGCCGAACGCATGATTTATTCTGCGCAAGACCGATTTCGGCCATGGTAGGGCAGATCGATCTGGGTTCTTGGGCGTGGAAGGGTCCCCTCTCGTAGAACCCGTGGATTGTAAATGACTTGTTCAGGAGCCGGGTTCAGGTTGGGGGACAAAAGTATCGAACATGCACGACGACGTAGTGTGTTGGAAACAGGGTGAAGCGAAAACACGTTCGGCTCGCCGATCAGACACACACCTGTGGTATATATTGGTTATTTCAGGTACAGATTTAGACACACAGTCGTGTAGCTGCAATTTCTTAGCAATAGTTGAATGCTTTGACCCGTAGAAAAACTTCTCCCGCCTCCGTCAAAGGGGAACCATGTGAACCACCCATCGTAAATAATGGTTAACGGAACGAGCTCGCCGGGTGCTGCGCACGACCACGCTCACCCTCGTGAGTCTCTTGTCACTGTACTCTCTTTTGCATCCTCCCTTACATATCTCAGCAAGATACAATCAGAGAAGGTCTCTCGATGAATGAAGTCGTTTCTGCTCTACAACTTTACAGGCGGCGGAGGAGATGGCCCGGCGGCATGCCGACGAAGAGGGAAGGCTCAACCTCGCAAGACAGGTGACAGAAGGCAGTCCAAGCCTCGTTCATGTTCCATAGATCCCGGCATTAACACCAAGTCTTGCACGGCACGCCGCACAGGTTTTTCGTGACAAATTGCTGACATGCACCTTACTCGGATGCGGAGTGCAATTCCCGCAATGTTGGAGTCATTCTTGAAAGGGATGTCTAGTCGACCTGTTAATGTTCCTTTACATGTCGCCGCTCCCCCAATACTGCTGGTCTCGTTGCTTAGAGCCTGGAGAAAGAAGCGTCATCGTTCGAAGCCAGGCTGTCTTGTGCTAGAGCGGATCTGCACAAGGCGGACCACGTGCGCAAAACACTTGACCGGCTGAGAGACCAAGACGAGGTGGGTGGATGGGTAGGTAGGTGGGTGAGTGGGCTCTGACGAAGGGTTGCATTGAGACTGCCTCGGATTTGACGTACGCGTGCCAATAAATGCGGTCGTTGGCCTCAGTTCATCCTCTGCTTGGTGTGTTTCCCATTATTTCTTCGTTTCAGTCCTACTCGATGCACGAGCTAGAATACCTTTATGATAGTCCATGTTCGCGTGCGGGCGTCGAAGCTGAGCAACGACTAGGCCCAACAATCTCCCTCTCATCATGTCGACGTTTCGCGCCCGCCACCGCCATTGTTGTATCCGCTACTCAATACTCATCTTGACGTGTATCTGGTACAAAAAAGCTTACCCTCGTACAACAATCAACTTGCTCCAGGTGGAGCGCAGGCGCTTGAAAGCTGTAGCGGGAGAGCTCGAACGTGCCTTCGAGGAGGTTCGAGCGAAAACGGACGAGAGCATCGAGCGTCAGCGAGAGGCGGAAGCCATGAAGATGGAAGCCCTGGCCGCATCCAAGACTGCAGCAGAGGAGAGGGAAGCGGCACAACTACGATCTGTTCGGACGGAGGAGGCCGCTCGTCGGCTAGAGGCGGAACGCTCAAGCATCGCGCAGGCGAGCCACAACCTCCAGTCTTGTGCGGAGTAAAACAGTAGCAGAAACGACCACACTACATATCGCAACCGATTTTCTCCACTGGTACAAGTATTTTCATTTCCGTAGGAAGCTTCCCTTTACACTTGGCGTTCATCCGGTCTGTTTTCGGTCTACAGAATCACTCGCCGGCCTGGACGCAGGCAAGGTCTTACGAATCATCCTATCTTGCATTCAGAAAGCCAACACATGCTTCCGTCGAAAATGTTTTCCGCACGCAAGTAAAGAGTCGAGGGGCAATGGTGACAGCAGAAGGCTGTAAATCGAAGAATATGGCCAGTCAAAGCCTCACAACTACTCCGATGGTACACGCCACGACGCCGACCGTGGTCTGTGTGAAGAATGCTTTGAGACTCCACGGAATAGAAACGATTAGTACTTTGGTTGACGTGATTTCAGACAGCGTTGACCCTAACTACTTTGGAAAGAACGGTCAGCGGGGACTAAGCCTAACCATGCCACAGAAGCTGCTGGTGCTTCTCCGTCAGATGTTCCCAACGTGTATGTATCTCCTTGCTTCAGTACACAATATTCTGCAGCATCGCTTCGGGATCGCCGTGCAGGCACTTTGAGTGAGCCTTTCATTGAAGGATACCAGGACCTTTTTTTCAAGAGAAAGCCCGAATGTTTCATTCATCAAGCTGGTCGTGCAAGGGAACATCACTCATCCACCGCAACTACCAACAATCATGTGAACATTCGAACCCATGTATTGGTAGTATCTTACCTTCACGCTTTCTTTTAGTACTTTGCAGGCGAGAGCTCAGTCCGCCATGGAATTGTCAGCATCGCGAAGACTAAAGGCTGAGCTGTCCAGAGCATTCGCCACCCAGCAGAGACAGCAAGCAAACGGGAAAAGTGCAGCAGCAGCAGCCGACATCGCGCTTTCATATCGCAGCATGTCTCTGGGAGAGCAAGCTGGTAGCGGCAGAGGCGGCGGCGGCGATACCGGTGGTGGAGGGTCGGTGGTTGTCAAGGTGCCGGGTCTACCGACGGAGGCAACCTTAGGGCTAGCAGGTGCAGGAGGGAACCGGGTGGTGTTGCTTCTTTTTCCTCTTGTTGTCAAGGGAATCCCGGCGAGCACACGACACCTTGAGAGAGAGAGAGAGAAAGACAGTTGCCCCTCGTACGGTCATCCGAAGAACGTAGTGGTGCGTGGGTGGCCCGTTCTTCAGTCGAGGATAAAGTAGACGTGAATGTGCACGGAGTTGAAGGCTTATACTTCTGATATTGGCACGACTACGTCACACCCGCGTTGGGATTCCCCGTCCTAGGGAACAAGCCTTTAGTTCGCTATTCATGGCGTGCCAGTCCTGCTGCAGCGACATTTTTGAAGTCTCGGTGAGCCCGATTTCTGCCCGTGTGCGGGATTTAGTGACCATGTGGCCATACATGTCAACTTCCTATGCAAGGTCATGACAAGCTTGCCGTTCTCATTTGCTGGCATGGTATAATCTAAAATCAAGATACCCTGGAAATACAACAGCTGCGGGGCCGACAGATCCAGAGCGTGGAAGCGTCGCCCATCGACAACTTTCCCAGACAACCATTACAACTGCTGCTGTCGGCCATGTTACCCCTGTACAGCCCATACCAACCCCGTTGAGCCAATACCAATCCCCGTTCAGGCAACCCTACCTCTACGGGAGGAATCGGGCTCCCTTTCACCGGAATCGCGGCGGCAGAGGCGACCCTGCAGGCCATCTGCTCGGCCCCTCCCTTCCCGGGGCTAGACATGGGGCGAGAATTAGGGAGGCTCGCGCGGAGAGCTGCAGACATACGCGAGTGAGTTGTCTCGTTTTCTACGATTGATTGACGGAATGAGTACCATTCTGGTCGGAAATATAGGGGCCATTGACAACCTCATAAGACTATTAGTGTAGTATCCGAATCGTCCTTACATTTCCGAACAGAGTGAGTGGCACACATTATGGTAAGTTTGTCGAGTTTCAATTAAGGACAATTATGATTCAAACGAAAATGAAATTTTTGATCCAATTCGAGGTAAACTGTTGCCCGGTTTGGGACGTATGGTCGGATTCTTGAAGGGGACCTCGCGGGGAACAGTCCGCGCGCGTATCTAGAAACCCGCATCACCAGCAGTTTTCCGTTTGCTTCGAATTCAACAGCTGAATGACCATGAAGGAAATGCGACGAGCCCGCGTTCCTTTCGTATCCCTGGTTCGTTTGTCAATGGTTCGGCCCAGGTGCACGAGAGAACAGAGCTCTTTCCTCTTGTCCAGCCGTGCAGCGAGATTCAGCCCAGCGCCCCTCACGGTGTCTGATCACGCACAAGAATCGAAAATCGCAAGTGACATTGGTGGTCTGGAAGGGCCCGGGCCTTTTCCAGGAGACCAAGCTTTTCTCAGCAGCACACGTCGGGGTAGTGGTAGTAGCCGCGAAATCGACGCCATGATAGGACAGCAGGTTGTGGGTGGGATCAGTGGGGCGGAAGGGCACGACCTCGGCGCGCTGGGGATTGGTTTGTCCAGCGCAGTCTTGGAGGAGTTGGACAAAATCGAGAGGGCGTGTTCGCAACGATCGTTGGCATTGAAGGAGGAAGAGCAGTTTCTCGAGACCATAGGACGGACCAAAAGCCCAGTGTCTGCGTGATACACCGCGGTGGTGGTGGTAATAACGATCCGAGAGTGTTGTACAGTAGTTCCAAGCTGTGATATCTACAAAAACATTGTGCTCTTGAAGTGTTTTTTCCAATAAATGGTTCAACCTCGTACTCGAGTAAGTGTGGTGGAATAGCTTCGCATTCTCCGGCTCTTCGTCGAACAAGACTACCTCCTTCTCTAGAGGCAGGGCCCCGTGAAGGGAGAGGGGGGTGGTTTGACCGTCCATCAGCGGAGGGACTAGGTTCAACAGTGGGTGAGATTACACACAATCCATTCAGCCGGTCGCCCCGGTGGTCTAGTTGGTCCTCGAAACCTTCTAGAGGGCAGGTCAGGGGTTCGAATCCCGGCGGAAGCGAGCTCTTCTTGCAAAGTGAGTTTTTCTCTCGCTTCCGCTCCTGGCCTAGTGGATAGCGCTAGTTCGTGTGTACACAGAGGGAAGAGAGTGCTGAACTCTTCTCGCATTACAAATCGAAGGAAAAGTACCGCAGGAGGGGAGGGTAGAGAGGGGCTCTTCCGTGTGACCACAGGTTGGAGTAAACGGCACTATTGTAGTGCCGTGAGCGCTGATTTGAAGTGAAGACAAAAAAAAAAAATCAAGAGCCATCCGATTGTTATTGATCGCAGCAGTTGGCGGTTGTTTCCTTGTTTCAACATTTCACGGGCCAGCGGGATGTTATCCTCAGGTCTTTGCATAGATCTACACTGGGTCCTTCCGGAAGGCTACCCTCCAGGCTGGTGGTGCGCACGTTCCACTATTTATTTATGTATTTGTTTCTGATTCTTTTGTTTTCTTGTATTTTATCGCTCTGCTAACCCTTGGGGTCCATTTTATTTTGGTATACCTTTTCTAGGTACGTTAGCCTGTGACCACGGAAAATGACCGAGTCAAGTGCTGGATTAGTACGGAGAGATTGAGACAGAAGGAGGTACTGGATAGAGAGACCGGGATGGTTTTTAATGTGAAGACAACAACAACACAGGGTGTGTGCTTGCAGCTACGGAGATAGACACTACCTGCCTCCAAACGCGGGGCGGACTTAACCAACCGGGAGTTCAAACACACATCGGCCCAGCATCGCCGTCATTGAATGGGCAGTGCTTATTCATACGGCGACGGGGTTCATGGACACTCAGCGGTAGCGGGTGATCTCGTTTTCGGCACCTCCCTTCGTTATATATCTTTCCGGTTTTTCGAAGTGCTCCCCTTCGTTCGGGATACCCCGGTGTACGGTGATGATCCCGATGTTGACCAATGTTGACCGACAATTGTTCGGGTTGTGCCCTGTTGCCACGTCGATGGATTGAAAGTGCCATTCAGTACTACAGAGCACAAACAAATGACGATACGACGCAACTGAAGATGTTGTAGAATTGAACAGTCCAATGTTTTCCCCAAAGTTGGGCACTTGCATAAAAATAACGACTGCAATCAAATCAAGTGCCAAGATGCAAGGGTTGTCAGCAGCATTGACCCGTGTAAAATCTGACCTGTTCAAAGTCCCCTCCCGAACCCCATACCTACAAACGAAAATCTTGAGAGATACGATGATGGTGCGCCTAAGCAACGGCACAACAACGTCCACGCCAAAAAAAAGAAACAAATATTGGTACCCTCCCTAGCTATAACGTGGCGCTCGTCGACCTATCTGACACTTGGCAGCCAGTCATACCGAATGAATAATGCTATTTACCCCCAAACACATCACAAGCACTACCGCATTCAAAACAAAAACAAGGTCGAACGTTGTGCGGTTGGATGCCCGCACAATCCAACCGGAGCTGATGTGCATCTAGCACACGCTACATTATCCTCGAAACAAGACAACATATACACTCTCCTATTCTTTTTTTCCTATGTATCGCTTTGGAGGCAGTTGTCCCCGGAAAGTGTAAAAATTACAAGGTACACAACACTCAGCTATTCTTGGGTACCACGCAAAGCACCTGCGGCCGGAGGTACACCCCTTCGGCAAGGCACGAAATATATCCAATACGTTGCTCCCTCCATTATTGCGGGATTCGAGTGAAACTAGAACGCCATTCTTGAAGTTGCGGCATCGTCTGGCCCTGTTTCCACCATCAGTCTGAAAACAACACTGTGTTTCCGCTATCAAGCATCAACCCAAACTTACTGGTTTAATCTTCACAGAGATCAAGTAGCTTCCTACCCTGCTTGTGTCGAGGTAAATTCCACGTTACGTTGCCGTGCCAAAACATACCAACGACTGCGCTATCCTTACCAACCCCGACACCAGGAAAATTATTACAGGCCTCATACCGTATATGTGAAGTTCTCCTGCCCGTACCACAAGTAAAAGAAATAACATTGAGCTCTAAACCTTCCCCCAAACTACAGCACCGACCCGCTCAAAAGAGACATCTTCACAAATCGAACCCCAGATGTAAAAACAAATAGGGAAATGAAGAAATTGGGCTCAGTCGCCGGCGCAACACGGAATCCTATACAGTAGCTTTGAAACAGGCGTCTCTTACCAGCGTGCCAGCACTGTACGCGATTCACCGGTGACCAGAACTATTTCTGCATCATCGCAGCGCAAACCATATTTCTCAAACACATCAAAGCGCGAACCCATCAATTAAAACTGAAATGGAAACCTCATTACATCACGATCAACCAAAACAATATGGAGTAACACCCTGACCACACTAGCACGGATATAGCACCAATTTTCTGAGAGCTTCAAATACCAACGCTGTCTGATCGACAGCCTTCTTCAAGCATTTCGGCGGTGGTCTTTAGGGCTTAAGGGCGGGGAAGAGGGTTCCCGATATATCATCGGACTACCCCCCCACCGCGAAAGGTACACAAATGCCATCGCCGCAAACTACGTATTCATACTGCCAACTGCTGTTGTCGCGTCACACGTTTGGCCCATCCGGGTGTAAACGTGCGAAAGATGGGGTCAAAAGAACACCGGGGGACCCCATGGGTGAGCGAATGGCAACATCAGTGGCGCGAAGGCAACCACGAACACACATACACATATCTAAGAAAAAAAACACCGACAAGGAAACGCCACGCAGAGCGAAACACACACACCCAGATGAGCTAAAGATACACCAAGTGGCATGACAAGGACACGTATTGTACTGGGAAAAAACATGCGTCACGTAAACAACAGCGCAACGCACAGGATGATCTAGAGATGTCTGTACTCTTTCGCACACGTCTTTCACAAGAACCTTAGTCAGCCAAACACTGCGCAGTGCTGAATCGGACATGATGTGCTACTTTCGTTCGGTGGTCCTTCCCTTGACCGGCCGCCCTCTTTCGACAACACTCAACCTCTTCAAGTAAAATCGCGACAGCAGCTCGATCAGCGTGGCGACCTTCGCCAGCTTCCACAACGAGAAAAGGGAAACAAATTTCACGTCTTCCGGCGGAGATTTGTAATAAGTCACTTGCAGCCAAATACTCCAGAGTCAAACACGTGTCTAACCCTCCCATACCCAACGGTTGTAGTCGATGGGTGGGACTACCTTTTGCAACGTCGGCGGCGCCCGCCCTTCGTCGTAGTCGTAGTCGCAGCCTGGGCACCCGCACGCCATCAACCCATTCACCGGCCTGCTGCTCGACTTGACGTGGCAGTGCCAGGCACGCTTGAAGGTGGCAAGCTCGGCCTTGGAGTAGAAGTGTTGGCGTCTGCTGGCCTTGTTGCCGTACGTCTGACGTCGATTCTCGATCAGCACTTCCTAGAGCACAACGAAATCAAAACGCGCGTGTGTAGAATAGGGGATTACTCAATGTCGTGACAGCAGCAGCAGCAGCAGCAGCGGCATCGTTTGTCCACCCTCGATCGCCACACGCGTTTGATGCCGTGTCTTACACGCTTTGTTGCACCCAGCACACGTCACACCGAGACCAAGAATTAGAACGGCAATATCAACATAACTCATGGGAGAACAAGTATGCCCTCTAAATGGTCACTTGGGGCCACTTTTTGCCCCCTTTCTTCTTCACGTGTTCTAGCTCGCGAAGAATTGCTAACCCTATCGTCCACCTTTGGACTCCTCGACAAAGGGGGGTGCCGGGGTATACACGGGGAGCCTAGTGTGCGTGCCTTGTAGAGGGGAGGAGTAAGAGGGTAGTGGCAGGAAATATTGCGGGACGATACATGCACTGCAGGTCAATGTGTCCATGTGCGAGGTTGCGCCGCGTCTATCTGTGCGTAGGTGGAAAGCGCCATAACGGGCACCGCGGAAGAAGCAACTCGCCCACCAATGAAAGGAGGCCTCGGGCTAGGTCTGAAGAATATGCTAAAAAACTCCTTTCCGTGCCCCGTTTACCACGCTCCGGCAGTTATGGTCAGTAATCCCAATCAAACCGAGGGGCCATCTCATGAGGGTTTTGGACAAGGATCGGCTCAGGGCTCAGGTGGGGAGACAGCTTTGCACTTGCACCCGGGGCTGGAACTGCTGCCCGCATCATCCAACCAAAAGTAATCGCTTGTTCTCTTTCTTACAAATCAGAAATCTCGCAAGAACACTGAATTTTTTTTGCGCGTCCTAAAAGGGGTCCCCCGCTTTTCCACAAAGCGGTGGTTAGGTCTCATTACCCGCTTTTTTGCACCCAGAATTCAAACCCCAACCCCGAGTGAGGAGAGCAAGATCCACAGAATTCTCTGCGCAAAATCGTGGTGGATCTTCATCGCTTTACCGAAACTAGGACGAGAGTTGGAATTGAGTGTGCAGCAAAAACAACGAATAAGCTGTGGCTGAGGTTGCACTGGTATGAAGCTGTGTGGAGATGTGGACATGGGGCTGCGGCCAGTGAGCTCCCTGAACCACGCGGGCCGGGAACACCCTCAGGCACAAACCTCGGCAGAAGGGGGGCAAGACCACATGGAACGGCGGCACATGCTGCGGTTTATGTCTGTGTTAGGCTAGCTTGCGGCACCGGTGGCAGCAGCAGCACTTGCCGCTACTTCTCGCGCTGCTGTTGGTCAGCATACTGTGCGAGGACATATTCCCGTGCTCACGGGTTGACTCTGGAGCCCGTTTGTGTTGTGTTCGAGTGTGAAAAGTCTCACTCGTACTGTGTGGCAACTAAGCGAGAGCGCGACAACGACAGCAGTCGTGCTGCCTTTGCTATCTTACCTCGAGGAGACGAGGAGATCACCTGTTGGGAACTCGAGGTTGCGGTTCGCCAAACTCAGGGTTAGTGTTTTGTTTCATCACTAAATGTGAGCCCGCTTTTCTAATCCCGAGGAGTTACAGCTTGCTGGAAGTTCAAGTGGGAAACAAGACAAAAGAGCGAGTGGTCTCGTCATCTCCCCGCTAATCAAATCGAGACTTCTGTGGGACTTTCGGCTCGAACTATTGGCTGGATGTGAATGAAGTCTCGGTGTGCAAAAAAAGTGGTTGAGATCCAGCCTGCGTGGAAAGGTCAGGCGGGGGGCGCAGATAGAGCAGGATCAAGAGACCCGGTGGCAACGGTGCGGCGCCATCCACGTTGCAAAATGCTTGCTGTTTCGAACTCACGAACGCTATGTACCATGGTACACAGTTCTCTGTACTCATCGCCGATCAATTCGAAGGCTACACTGTCCATTCTCTTTCGCAAGGCATCTATGGACGATCTTACCAGACGTCACGCGTGAAAGGTGTTTCACCTGAAATAGACCTATGCATCGATGTCTTGTACGAAAGTGGCCTCCGCAGCAAGGTGTTTGTATTGCGCTGGCTTTCGACGACAAGTAAGAACATCTGAGGCGGTTGGCTTACTAAACGGAAATGAACAACCTTCCATCCACTACAACAGCCGAGGTGTGACAGAAACTGCTTCGCCAGGCCGCCCAACCGTTGAAGTGCATCTATGTCGTACAAGCCTGTTGTGGTTGCTTCTTGTGGCGCCACCACAGGGGGTGACCCCGCATGGGCTCGCGACAAGCGGCATATTTGTTGCAAATCGCCTTGCACGGGAGGCCCCATAAACGCTCAACTTCAACAAAGACATAGTTCAACAAGCAAGACGAGCAAGCAGTACGATATTTTCGTAGAGCTGCTTGCTCCATACCCATTCTCTCGAAAAACCAAAACGTCCACACATGGTGTCGTGCGGATCCTACCAGTCTGTCGAGTGTACCGCACCCACCCCCTCCCCCCACCCCTTGTAGCATATAGACAGAAAGCGAAGCCCGGGTTCGCATTCCTCTTGCGGACCGAGTGCTGTTGTACATATGTAGATCAGATCGCTCCACCTGAAGCTCCAGGGTCTTTCAGCAGTACAGAGGTGCGGCCGGGAAATCAAAAACGAACAAAAAAAATGGTGGCAGACCTCGTGGGTAGCGCTTACCTTGACTTCCTCGCTGAAGGAGACATTCCGCGCCACCTGTGGCTGGGTGTCGGGAAGACCGCTGGCGTCGGTGGCGATCGGGCCACCTGCTGGGCTTGACCCTGCTGCGGAATAATCATCCTCCTCGTATGCATATTCATAATAGGGACCACGAGGAGGAGGAGTAGCTGGAGCGACAGGGGGACGAGGAGTGCCAGGATGGGAAGCAAAATGCGTCGGCGCTCCCTTCGAGTCGACGCCACCGCCGCCGCCACCGGTGCGTGCGGCTGCAGCCAAGCCGCCTTTCCTCCTCCTTCTCAGGCTGCCTCTGTCCTCGTCGACCAATCCTCCGAAGGCTACGTTTCTGGTGGATAGCCCAAACCGCTTTGCCTCCTCTGCACTCGAGCCAAAGCCATCGGTGGCGTAGCTTTCGGGGTGGTGGTGGTTGTCCCGGCCGGCGGCTTGCTGCGTGCTCAAGGACTTCTTGTGAAGAACGAGCACGCGCAGCTCCGAGATGCCCCGCGCGTTGTTGTTTGATTCCGAACCATGCGGTCGCAGGGCCATGATGCTGGTTGGATATTCGGTGCTGTTTTAACGTCGCGTTCAGAGAGGGTCACTGCGAGCTGGAGCCACGTTCCTGGCGATCTGGCTCCCTTGATCTGTGTGTGGTAGAGCAGAGAGCAATGTAGCTACCTTCCCTGCGCAACGAAAAAGCCGGGCGACGACGGATGGTTAGGTTTGGCTGAGACAGAGGGTGAACGGCAGACGTTCGAGAGCGGACCGAAGGGGGATGCAGAGAAGTACTACAGAATTACATGCATACAGCAGTGCAAAACTGGTACTGAACGCATAGAAATCCATAACAGCATTATGCATATGCTACATCATGTACTACTGCTGTGCGGATGCAGGAGCAGAAGCAGTTACAATAGGCAGTTGTGGCTGATGTCTCGTACATCATGACTTTAAGGGCATGCATGATCGACACGACGTCGCGCAAACCGAGAAGGAAATTCTCCAAACGCGAACGCGCCGTTCATTTAGTCTCTCTTGTTTGCTGGTGGCCACGCACAGCGCGCCGAGCAGGAAAAAATCGTGACACACCAGCCAGTTGCGTTCCCGCTCAAAAAACCCACGTCCAACGTGTCGATGCATACATGCGGTTCAAGGCACGTTTCTTTCCCCCTGCTGTCTCTTTCGCATGCACGACATCCGCACGATATGCTGTTCTAAGATGAGTAGCCAGAAGTGGATGCATAGGTCACACGACCCCCTACGCTACATGCGGGCAATTATGCCTACAACCAATGCGGGTGTGTGACAAACTTTTGCTTGCTCCACGCGAACCCAGCCACACGAGAGAACACACATCAAACGGCACGTCAATGCGTGTGCCCGAAAGCTGCTGGAAAGCTTCTAGACTCCTGATGGTGCGGAGAGCAAAGCACAAACCCCGAAATATCGCACGGTTTTGCCCTCCACGGTCCCGCCAAAGGATATCTTGACAACCCCCGCAGCCGTTGCTCGTGCGGCTACACAGCCGTTCAGCCACTGCTCAGGACCGAGCCAACCATTATAATAGCACATCGAACTCTGTCTCTCTCCCGTCCGCACGCCCGCGGGATATTGATGTGCTCAACGGAAGCGGAAAGGTTCGACCCCTCAAGCTCCACGCTACCTCGCTTAAGACGTTGCAAATCGAATGAGGCGTGTACGGCGAGCTAGAGCGGACTGCTGGTGCCGTCCTGCTACCCTTGCACACATGTGACAACAGCAGCAGCCAAAGTTTTGAATTGATTTCGGCAGCAGGGCCCACAAAGGCTACCGAGAGGTCCTTGCTGCCAACTACGCGCACACCAAGGAGGGGACCGAGAGAAGCGTGAAACAACAGAGAGTGCATGAACTCAACCAACATTCGGTAGGTGTGTGTGGCCAACCCGTGCGTGCTTGGCTACCCTGGCCGGTGACGACAGAGGGACCGTTGGGTAAAGGCACACTACGCTTGACCTGCTGCTGCCGGGGTAGGCTTTTTGCATGGCATCGTCACCGGCCAATTCTACCTACACATGCTGCCAATTCCACTCGTTCTTCTCCCTTTACCTTAACTTGCTGCCTCGACCACCAGCCAGGGCAACGCAGTCTTCCTGCGCTCTAGAGACCGGTTTTGGATCCCTCGGGAGCTCGACAGGGGGGCAGCAGGGGAGGGGTGAACAAACGGGCAGGAAGCGACTGGAACTTCGCCCGAAAAACGTGGTAGTGATCAGATTAACCGGTGGTCCGCAGATGAAAACAGCAACACGTTCAAATTTCTTCCAATAAATAGTCTCTTCATAGGCTATATTGATAGCATGTTTTGGTGGTTCTTAAGGTCTAACAGGGCGTTGAACCAATGGATGTGGAGTAATTATCATGATTAGACTATGGTGAAGTTCCTCACAGGGATGTGTCGATGTGTCGCACACCGTGTGGTCAACGCAACCCAACCAACCGTAAACAAACCGTATCCCTCACCCACGGCCAACGCACGGCCTAGCGGCCGCGAAAACTGACTTTTCCAAGGCGTTGGGGGTGGGGGGAGGAGGGGGGAGAGACAAAAAACGCGGTTGGGCAGCCTGGCAGTACTCCTGATTGATGCTCCTCCTCCCCCTTTCATGTATTAACATCGTGTTTCGTTGCGCGTGTGTGTGCGACCCGCTCGGCAGGTGCGTCAAGCCAGCATTATATTTTCTTACTATATGCAAAAGATACCTGGTCCATGTATGTATGTACTACTGCTGTGTGCTGTCCATGTATAATGTACATATAGTAGAGGGGGGCACTAAAGGCCACTTGAGCCACCCCCTGTGCTACGAGGTCGTTCTCGAGCAGGAAATCGAATTTCGATGATATTGTGGTATCGAGCGATAGGTAAGATCACCCCCCGCCTAAAAAGAAAAGAAAAAAATCGTCAACAGTGACGAGGTAGGGCTGGAGCCGTAGACCTGAGCTGCAGGCGCCATTTTTAGACAAGAAAATAACCCCTGGGGGTACTAAAGGCCACTTTCATCATTGGTTGATTTCGAACGTTTGAAAGCGTTTCAAGACCCAAGATTTGGCGGGCATGCGAAAGATACAAAAGGAATGAAGAAAAGTAAGAAAAACACAAAAATGATCTAGTTGTACATCCTGGGATCATAATGACGTATCCCCGGGTTTTCGACACCATGGGTAGGGATGGGTTTTCACCTCCTTGACCTGTACTGCGTGCTCTGTGCGTTCGAAACGAGGCAGAACAACCAGTTTGGTGCATAAATGTGTTATTCCACTCAGCAGACGACTCGATCGAGAAAAAAAAATCAGGGCGAAATGAGTTGTCTACGTAAAACGGTGCTTGGTCAAATATGGGTACTTTTTCCTGATTTCGCACACCGCTACGTAACGGTAAGAATTTACGCCGAACACCGCCAAACTGTATCTACCATTGAGGATACTCATTCATCCCCACGACAAAACCTTTGGAGGGGATCTTTAAACATGAGTGAGAAACATGTTCAGAAAAAAAAAAAACAAAGCCACCCCGGGGACAGAACCACCGCGTCCCTGGGTTTCGGTCAAAACCTGTGCATCCCTCCCCCCCCCGGTACAGGAACGCACGAACGTCACCATCAAATAGGGTACGAACCACACGACGTTCTACTACAGGGTATGTTTCGACTGTACGCACAATTCCACGCCCATTGGAGCACGCCTGATGATATATTAAAGGTCAAATTAGGATACCTTTTCCCGATTTTAGGCTTGCCGCTACGGAAATAATTAACGCCGAAAACAACTGTAGTTTCAAAACACCTTTGCACCCCCGCGTCGAGTGCTTCTGAGGGAACCTGTGAGCATGAGTGAAAAACATTTATCGCAAAATGAAAATACACCCACACAGGTCACCCGGGGACAAAATGATGACATCCCCGGGTCGGGTTCAAGACCTGTGCATCTTGCCCCCCCGGTGCTGGCACGCCCTAAAATCACCGTCGCATAGCCTACGAACCACATGCGACATTCTACAGGGTACATATCGACTCCGGGTACAACCTCACGATCATTTGGGCGTGTTCGATTCAAATCTGAACCTGTCAGGACACGTGGGAAATATCCATACGGCTACACGTCGACAACGGGGGTCGGCGTCCGTTGTTGTCCAATCCTGAACACGGAGGGCGCTGGCTGACGTTCCGGCAAAGTCGTCCCTTCTGCTCCAGCCACCCGGCCGCGCCCCCCCACCCGGCCACGCGCTCCCACCCCGTCTTCACGATGAACACTGCGGCCCCCGCCTCCC